TACAGGCAGTAGAGAATTTAAAATGAAATTTGAAATACATTACTGAAAAACGAAATCGAATTGAGCGAATTGCACGTAATCGGTCGTGCGAACCACTAGAAAAGAAAACAACAACGACAACAACAACAAAAACCAAAACAATAAAAACAAAATTCAGGCGCCGCATTAGATCATCAAACGGCGCCTATTTTCCTCTTCATTTCCACTGCAAGCATTGTGCGGCACAAAGTAACAAAGAACAGTTAAATTTTCGAGTTTGAATTGAGAGTTTGTTATTTTGTTTGTTTTGTTCTAGTTTAAGTTTTTCTTTGAGTTTTCACCGCAATTTTGTTTTCAAAAATTGGCATGCATCTTTTCTACCTAAGAGGAAGACCGGAAATGTTTCTATTGCGTTGAAGATAGATTACTTTCAACAGCAAAATCGAAACTCGCTGCTTGTGCTCCAAAGAATAACAGGGTTTATCATATGCTTGATATAATAAGCGAAAAGAGAAATTACGTCGGTATACCAGTAAAACAGGTTTTCCTCCATCGCGTCGTCACCTTCGAATTCTCTTATCAGCATCAAAACACCGCGAGGAATTGAACAGCACTGGAAAACTGCCACAAGAGACACTAATACTTTGACCAGGCGAATCTTTTTCTTGCTTCTTTCAAGAATATCCTTCCTGATAGAGTTCTCCCTGGTGAGTCGATCCAGTTCACGGTTGGCGACCAGAAACACGTTTACGTAACACCATGACTGGATAAACAAAGGTACTGCGATGAACACTGTTACGAGGTAAAATTCGTACACGCGGCGGACTTCGTCGGAAGGGAACTCCGGAGTGCAGTAAACTTTCCCGTCGGGTTCTTGATAGAGATCAAGCATAACAGCTTGAGGCAAGGCCGCGCTTATGTAGCAGCCTAACCAAATAACAGCTACCGTGATCTTTGCCATCTTCCAGCTCATTCGCTCTCTAAACGGCTGCACGATTGCACGGTATCTCTCTAGAGCAATGGCGGTGTGTGTCATTACTGAAACGCTGACGAAAAGTTCTTGGATGGAGGCAAGAAAATTGCACATGAAATTGCCAAAAGGCCAACCGATGTAATTCTCTATAATGCGCTGAGGAGCTGCAATGAGAGCCATACCAAGGTCGGCTACAGCGATGCTGAGGATCAAAGAATAACATGGGGCTCTCAACTGCTGGCGGCCGATCACTGCGATCACGATCAGTAAGTTCCCTGGAAAACCAGTGGCTATTACAAACGAAAAAAGTACCGTCGTTAATACCGCCGGCTGGTCTTCGGTATTTGTTGAGTTACTGTCGGGTAAAGAAGAGTTCACATCCATGCTGGAATCGTTGGCGTTTGGAACACCGGAACAACAAGGCGGCCTTTTTTCGGCGCGCCCTTCTTCAATGCTCGAAGACGGAAAGCTTTACGTTTTCGTGGGGGAAACTATTCACAACGGTGTCGTCAACTCATCAACAAATGATTGAATAGAAACCGATTGAAATCGATCTTTTAAATGCGTAAATACATTGTAATTTTACGATAAACGACTTCCGAGATTTTGCGGTGGGTTTTTTTGGTGGTGATAGTCTATTTTCTTGCCAACGATAAATAAGTTAGTTAGGCGCTTTATCAAGCGCACCGAAATCGTCAAATTTTTCAAAAATCAATGTCAGTATGTTGGAAAAATGTAATAATTTCATATTCCAAACAGTAGATCTACTGGTTCATGAAATTGAAAAAGAAAATAAGTCGGCAGAATAATTACTCGGCGAGATCATTGTTATTGTAAGGGAACAATTACTGGGTGATTTGCCTAAAAGCTTTTTCCGTGACTTCCATTGTTTTGAAAGCAGGAGGCTGTTTACTGGGCGAACCGTTGTGGCAGAGATCTCACCGTTGCTAGCGAAAAACAACAACGCAGACCATTAGGCTATTACTGGCTTGGAGACTGACAAAAAAACAAATGGATGTATGCTCCTAGTGATCGATAAGCGCAATGAAGCTTTACAGCAGCAAAAATAATCGTAATAAGTTTTAGGTACCTTTTCTCATATGATCCACTTCAAAAAGGTTGAACACCGTAAGCCTTGAAAATAGATTACAGAAATGGTAAAATTAAATTTCCATCTCGATCACGCACAGAAAATCATTCATTACAATTTTAGGCTGTGGACATTCATTCATGTGCCGCGAATCCCAGCAGGTTGTCATTTTAACCCGCTTGATTTTGTTTTTGCAATAAAGCAATCAGTTTGTTTAAAATTTAATTTAACAAGCGGTACCATTTGATTTAAGTTACTCCTCATAGCCGATGATAGAAGTTTAGAATTTGAACTGCGACCCCAAACTCTAGGATTTGTTGCTAAGAACGAAAGATCAAATCCAGCTTTAAATTAATTTTGATCGAAATTGAAAACGAACTATTGCTAAGCTGTTAGGTAAAGCTAAGTCATAAAACCTAATGTACTTAGTTCCGTCATACGCATGAAATAATACTTTTTCTTTCATCAGTTCGTTGCGTGTGAATGTTAAGTATCGATAACTAAAGAATATATTTTGAAATCGTTAGATATAATCATAAAATTGTTATGAAAGGTTTTTGCGCACGTATGCGTATATTAAAAACCTTCCGACTTTGATCTTTTTTTGTCCTCTTCAAAGTACACAGCAAATTAGATCTAGGTATTTTTTATTTATTTTGAATCCACTGCATGTACATTTTCAATTATTTCCCAATGACTATGAATGACGGAGCAGTCGCTCAGACTCCCTGTGCCTTCGGTGTGCTTCTTACCGGATCAAAACACTGACGCAGGAAATTGTTTTAGGACTAAACAAAACAAGAATATAGAAATAATAAAATGACAGCTGAGGTGTTCTTTCTTCGAAACTGAATGAGTCGCAAATTTCACATCAGCACGGAACTATTGTGCATTTGAATTTCTTCGGTAAGGTTGAAAAAATTCCTGTTTTTTGCGGATGATTTTGATGTACATTTGTGCTTAAAAAAAAAAAAAAACGGATCAAAGGCTCTTGTTTATAGAAGGAAATTCAAATTTCCTAAAATAGATGTAAAATGGTTGATAGGTCCCAAGGAAGTATCCTAATTCAAAAGATTCAATTTTGTTTTGCTGCCTTTGTTTGCAAACACGTTTATAGCCAGTTCTCTATCAGAATTAGCCGTGCTTTTAACCTATTTACCAGTATCATGACAAAAGTGATTCACGTCTGTGGAAAACATATACCTAGATTAACGCACGGGCACGAATGTTATAAAGCATCAGCGCACATGTCATCACAGCACACGGAGCGAGTCACAAATTCACAAATATGCGCATATTTATTAAGCAAAACAAATTTAGATACGGCAACTAATTTGTTTCAAGGAGTGAGCTATATGACACATACAAATCCACTACAAGGCGAAGAAAGGAAACAGGTTTATCAGCTAGAGACCCTATGCACCAAATTCTTCGATATTTTAAAGGAAATGTAAAACACCTGAAAGAGAGAATTAAGAAAATGAAATACTAAGAGTTTAATGGTTGACCTTTGCATCTAACACCAGGTTTCCCCAAACCACTGGTCCGATTTCAACTTGGTCCTTTCTCGTTACTCAGTAAAATTATTCCCACCCCGATAACCTTTCATTAATTTTTCGGTCTACTTTTAAATAATATATATATGTATATATTTAGATATAGCTCTTTGGCATACAATGCTCTGCTTTCATGTCCAAATTGAGCACTGTGGGATGAGTCATCACCGCTAGCATTGTACATAGCTCGCTAGGCTCTTCTAGTTTGAGCACTCTGGCATGGCTTAGACGATACCACAAGTGTGGGATCGTTTGGGGATCCATATCGGTTCTCCTCCATCCTGGTGAGGCCCAGAAGGCCGAAACAGTACTGTCTGCACTTATATATATATTTCTATTTTTAGTTGCTTTTCCTGTGATTTTCCAAGAGTGATGGGTTGGTAATCAGTCGAAACCGCATCGCTTTAAGTGCAATTTTACCTCGGGGTTGTCGGTGCAGCTTTGGGTTGTAAAAATATCACATGTACAGTGGTGGTAACCGATATTGAAAATAGAATCCCCGCCATGCAGTCGGCAAAGACAAAATCAAACAACCAAAATATAAATTGATAAAATTGCTGTAAGTGTTTTTGATTGCGACATGACTTGGTATACCTTCTTTCCTCATAGACCCTCAACGCAAGAGACAATAACCATTATTCTAGCGAAAAAGGCGGAAAACAAACCAAATGTTATGTTTTTAACTTTTTTTTCTCTAATTTTTCTTTTATGTATGTTTATTTCCTTATATTCAGTGTAACGAGCATTTACGATTTTGATAACGGAGATTTCGGCAACACAATTTTAGAATAAAAATCACAAGACCTTTCAGTTGATGAAGACTAGCAGTATATAGCCGAAACTTGGCGATCCAGATCATAAGTGACTTTATTACACGACTCGGGCAGTCAGAGGGCCAATAACTAAAATCAACCAATCAAAATGCTCTATTGCCGGTCAATATTCTCTCAGTATTGGACCGGGCACTGTCCCGTCTTTCAGTACAACGGTAAACACTACAAACAGTTACACGGCACTGCCATGGGGTCTCCAGTTTCTGTTGTTATAGCAGAAATTGTGATGCAGAACATCGAGGAACGCGCCCTTTCGACTTGCCGACAAACGATACCGCTTTGGTTACGTTACGTTGACGACACATTCACCGCCGTTCGACACGACGAAATTGACGCATTCCACAACCACCTTAACGAACAAAACACTGACATACAGTTTACCAGAGAAGTCGAAGAAAATGGCAAACTTCCTTTTCTAGACTGCCTGGTAAGCCACAACGACAACTCATTACGAACGACAGTTTACAGGAAACCGACACACACCGACAGATTACTAGACGAGTCATCCTACAACCCTACATCACACAAAGCCACAACTATCAGAACTCTAACACGACGCGCACAACTAGTATGTGACTCGACAGACAGCTTATCCGACGAGAACAAATACCTTCACCGTGTTTTTACGAAGAACAACTACAACAACGACTTCATCCGACGAAACACTCACCGACCCACTACCACTACCGAAACAAACGACACCGCAACCCCTACGACTACAGCAACCATACCGTACATAAAAGGCATGTCTGAAAACATCTCGCGCATCTTACTACCCTTCAATATCCGCGTCGCCCACAAACCCATCACCACACTACGTCAGTTACTAACCAACGTTAAAGACAAAGACGAACCGAGGAACAGACAGGGAACGATTTATAAGATCAATTGTTCCGACTGCCAAGCCTCCTACATCGGTGAGACTGGCAGAAACCTCACAACAAGACTGACTGAACACAGACGGGCGACGAGGAAAGGTGATGTCAGCAATCACATTGCTGAACACCATCGACTTACCAACCACAACATTGACTGGGACTCTGCGCAATGCCTAACCTACAGCACTGACTATTTTCAACGACTGACTCTGGAAAGCTGGTTTACTAACTTAGAACAGACTCCCCTAAACAGATGTCAACAACTACCCGCTCCATACAAACGACTCATTCACGACATAAACATCACAAACGACCGAAAAAGAACGACCTAACTTTACCGACAGATCGAAACAGACCAATCACGACCGACTTACGTCACTTGAGTCTTACAGCCAATAACATCACGGCAAAACCAACCGATCATTTCACACGAACTGGAATAAGAACATTCTACTGACAACAATCATTCACTTGACTCTGATGATGACTTCCGCACAGGTTGTCGAAACGTCAGTCACTACCACCGACAACAGTCCTTCTCAGGACTACACTCACCCGGACGATCAGACTACACCTTCACAAACAGAACAAAAATTTACCTTTCTCTCGTCGCAACTTTCGAGAAATTCCTTGAAAATGTTTAGATCATACAGCGTTTCAGTTTTGGTACTATCTTTCCTTATGAGTTCATCAAGAAATGAGGGAGTTAGTTGTTTGTATGACTGTGAATCACTTTCTCGGGAACCTCTCCGGTAACTGTTTCTCAAAGAGAGGGGAAAAAAAAGCTCAAGTGAAACTCAATAAACGACCGAAAGTGCTCTTACATGGTTGGAATAAACTTTTAAAACGAACAAATAGTTTTAACGATTCACTGATAAATTTTATCATGAATATCTTACTTTTCTCAATTTCCTGCCACTTTAGATCACAATCATTGTAATTTCCTGTCAGCTCGTAGATAATTCCTTAATTTCAAACCAAAGGGGGTTCATTTTAGTTACCATAAATGTGCAGTTCCACGCATCTTGTCGGTAATGCATCTTGGTGAAAGTTCAAAGTTGGTCAGTTTGCGGCCAATTATTTATTTTAGTCCATCAATATGTAGCAAATTTTATTTGCTGTCAACCTGAAGATGCATTTGAAATCGTGTTCTCTCCTTTTCTTTGCTAGTGACTGAGCGACCGCACTTTGAGCGTTCAAAGCAGTCCTTTCGGAGAGTGCAAATTCTCGAAAATGGCCGGTTTCAGTTTGAGCAATAAACTTTTTAACGGCCGGAAACTGTCATATCAGGGTTTAATTTTTGCTCATATTTCTCTTCTTAGATTAGATAACAGAGAGAATCTAGTTTATGATAACGGTTCACTGATCACTTTTATTTTAAGTCTAACATCCTGCCACTCCAGATATTTCCAACTAAATGTGTGAGCATGTTAGATGCGGTAACGTTAGTGTGCAACTGAAAGCATAAATTATCAACGGCAAAACTTAACCTCTATTCGATAAAATAGCTCAGTCTTCTGTAGTTTCTTGGCCCAAAAGCTCGCCAAAAATACATATTGGTAGCTGAGATATTCGGATTCTTTCGGAATACTTTGCCGTGTGGAAATTGGAAGGGCCTTGGAAAACATAGGCGCGAGTGACGGCTGGAATCTGGGCCACACAGTGTAAAATTAAGGCATTGGTTATATGCCTGTCGCTGAGTTACTCTTCAAGAAGATTGAATGAGAAATGAAAAGTTTATCGGAGACAGTAAATTTATTCAATGATAAATAGATGAATAAACGAATAAATCAAATAAGCATTAAACAAGGTCGATGAGTGTTGAGTACTGTTTATGTTGGAATAGTTTATGTTTATAAATAGTTTTTAAACCGTTTGATTTAATACCTTTATAACTTAATTAATTTTTCACGACTACAGGTGAACTCCGGAGAAGAGAGAGAGAGAAAAATTCATAATGATAACGATAATAAGGATCGACTCATCTACTTGAGGTGAATTAGTTGAATTTTACATTTATATGATTCAAAACTTAGAATTATCCATGATTTAAACATATTGAAAAGACTTGGAGCAGAGAAAATGAAGTTTATCTTTAAAAGACGGATTAATACAGGGACTTGCAGTTGGAAATCCCTTCCACACATCGGCTTTGTTAGCTATAGGCAGCTCGTACAAAACATGCACTTCACAGCTGCTAGTAACTTTCCACGTATTCTTTTTTCATTTCCTTTGACTGAATCTGGTAAATGATTAAGGCTACGAACGCTGATTTGCTGCTTGTCTGTTGACTTAAAGAAGGCTTGAATAAAGAAGGAAATTCTAGTCTTTCCTAACATCCATAAATTACTAATAGCGTCTCAAACACTAATTACCTCCGAAGTTTATGAACCTACTGTATAGCGGTGCGTTTGGAAAATCAAACTGGAAAACCTTGATGAGGAAGACGTAGTTTAAACTTTTAGTGCCTTCAAGCTAAAACACTCACAAACGACTTAGGAAGAAACAAGCAAGGTTACTTGATAGACTGAATCGTGCTATCCGGGGAACGTTTTAAATTGTAATTGCTTTCTACCACAGGCTAAACCAAAGGATAAACTTTCACAGCCCTTTTTATAGAAGCTGACATTCATCTTCCTACCATACGGTCGGCGTAATTATCACTGCAAACGACGTAAGTACCTAACTAATTATAAGTTTAAGAACGATTTCAAAGTACTTTAATTGAACTGCTTTAAATAAATTATCAAATTTCTTACTCTTCGGAGTTGTTTGCAATTTAGAACAAAGTGTAAATATCAAAACTAATGATGTACCTGACAAAATTTATGCTCTTTTGTGCATTTGCGGTTCGGCCATTTAATGGGTTTTACCGCAGCTGTGTTTGTTTGTACAGCGGCGAAAACAAAACACAGTTTAAAAGATGTTAAATATTTTCCTTAGCAATTTTTTTTAAGACAACATTATTTTGCTATAAAGAGGTAAGACAAATTTTTCGCAATTTCCTCTAATATAACTTTTTCACATGATTTGCAAAGGCGTCCGTTTTGTATGTAGATCGGCGGAAGTTTCTTGCACCAGAAAATCTGTTATTGAGTCGTTAGTCGAACTTGTTTTTTCGTTTAAATGGCGATAGCTTTCTCAACGCAGTTAAATTTTTTTCCTACATTGGCATCTGATTGCGATTTTAACGCATGGTTAAATCGTTGCCATGAGCAACATTATCCGGGCTAACGTTTAAAACTGATTAATATTCTTGCGCATAGATGTCACCTACTGTTGTGACATAAAACGTCCGCTTAGTGGGGTTCCGGGGAATAAATTTTGAATATTACTGATCGAACGCAAAATCACTATTAGAAAACAGTAATTCCTCATTTAAGGATCGTGTTTCATACCAGGTGAAGATTAGTTTGAGCTTCAGTTACTCATAATTATTTTAAGTTGATGTAAGTACACTTTTACTTTTGTTTTAAGGCAGGACATTTTGGTAAACAAAATGGAATACTGAATTAGTTATAAGCAGAAGTCATTGAAAGCTTGAAGGAAGCGACCTAATCGTTTAAATAATAAATGGCATCTTCCCCTTTAAACAACTTCAGCACCGAAGTTTCGCTTCTAAATCGAACCATGGAGCACCAAGGAAATTTTAGCAGTGGACAAGGACATGAAGATGAACTCTTCGACCCTCTGTCATACAAAATTATGGTCATCACGTTCTTTTCTGTGATCTTCGCATTCGGTTTTCTCGGTAACGTGTCAGTGCTTGGAACGATTTTAAAATTGAAACAATTAAGAAATCCTTGTGGTTTTTTAATTGGCACTATCGCTTTGGCGGACTTGGGCGTTGCCCTTGTAGCTGCTCCATTAAGAATTGCTGACCTCTACCTTAAGGGATGGCCATTTGGAGGTGCGCTTTGTAGACTTATTGTCCCACTTCAAGATGTGTTGGTGTGCGTTTCGGTGGTTACCCATTCGACGATCGCTTGGGAGAGGTACAGAGCCACTGTAACTCCGTTCAAGCCCCGGCTCTCAGCAACGAGGATTAAATTTGTCATCTTGGGAATATGGGTGTCTTGCTACATTTTTAGCGGACTGCCATTGGTGATTCCGCTGAAGTTACTGCCCTTTAATGGAGCTCTACATTGCCTCCCCGCTTGGTCCGACCTCTACCGCAGGATATACGAAATATATCTAGTGCTGGTATTTATCGTAGCTCAGCTTATCATCCAGAGCTATGCTTATGTGAGCATCATCCGGACTCTCAAGACAAAGAGCGATGTAATTGAGATGGTTGAAAAAGATCGAAAAATATCAACGGCTTCAGGCGCCTCGATTCCGTTTAACTCAGGCGCCCCGTGCACCGCAATGGTCGTTCGGATGAAACGGAAGCGAAAGCTGGTGAAAATGCTTTTGGTTTTGGTGACAGGTTTTCAGATTTGTCACCTTCCGCGCGGAGTTACGATGTTGTATCGAGAATTCGCTGATCCTGTACTTATCACTCCTGCTTTTAATTACATTGATCTCGTAGCTTTGGCTCTTTACTATCTCAAACACGTCATAAATCCATTGATTTTGTTCACGATGAGTGAAGACTTCAGAAGTGGAATGGAATTAATCTGTGGCTGTTATAACGAGAAAAAACGAAGCAAAAGTGACACCGAGTCGACAAAGCTTGTTACAACGCGTTTAGAAGACACGCCGGTACTCGAGCGAAGGGTTAACACTTTGGAAACAACAGTTTAGAATCAAACATTTTCGACGCAGTGTTAAAGACAAAACAAGATTGAATCGAATTAAGAGAAGTTCAATTCCTCTCTGGTTTAAAATAATGCAACAAACTTTTCGAAGAGAAAATAATTTCTACATGTTTCAAAGTTACGTAAAGCCAAATACAAAAGCCATATTCAGTTTGGTGTACAAAAATGTATTTAAATCTAACAAGAAGTTTGAGTAAAAAATTAATTAAGGGCTTGAAGGAAGTTTGTTTCGGTTCATGAATTGTGGGTGAATCAATTAAGTGCTCACCTGTTTGTTGAAAGCCGCCACAAAGCAGGGGTGGGAGGTGAATTAACAAAGAGTAATAAAGAGATGTGACATTGTTTACACTGTTATCTAAATTTCCGTTCGTGACAATTATCGGCACTGATTCACCATTGATAGAGGGTGGATCCGAAGTTCATTTGATTTTTGATGCTGTTTGTTGTTATTTGATGGCATTTGCATGACACAGTCGGGCAGAGTGAGGCAATTTTTTTACTTGTTATGCAAAAACCGCAGAAAGTTGGGATGGTGGGTTCGTCATGTTAAACAAATACAAAATTGGAAATCAAAAGAAAACCCAGAACTGATAAACTTTGCATTCGAAAAGTCTCAAGCCGTCCTCTTCCCTTGTTTTGTTTCCTTTTGCAAATTTTTTACTGACGTTTTTTGTGTGACAGTGGCTGTTTCTGGAATTTACCTTTGAGAATCTCGCGCGCCAGGAAAAAGCAGGGTGCTTGGGTAGCTAGGCTGATCCATTTGCGCATGCTTTTCGTTTCACTTATGTCCAGTCTTCTGTAGATATCGTTCGTGGAGTCTTGTCGAGTTCTTTCCTACTGTGCATTACCTGCGACAGTCGGAGGCGTCTAGGAAGTCGCACGACTTGCAGGTGGCCTGACAAGATGGTGCACATTGCATAAACACACAACGCTACCAAAATATCATACACAGAATGCTCGTTTGCTAAATTACCTCTATATGTCACATTACAACAAGTCGTAATTATGCTGAATCTGGGTCAGCTTTGACTGGTCACAGTGCATTATCCTCAATGCAGTAAACATGAAAGCATACCTCAGTATTAATAAATGATGATGCCGAACGATTTCGTTTTGTCTACAAAGCCTCAGGGCAATGGAGTTTTTTTTAGTTAGACTTTGAATCTTGCGAGTGCTTTTGACCTAGTTTGCAGGTCGTTTTTCTATCCTCCGGCTGTTTCGACCCCCAGAGCGAACCGCCGTAAATCAGCCTAGAAAGCCGCTCGCAAAATTCAAAGAAACAAATATAAGTCATGTAGAAACATTAAAATGTGATCGCAGAAATGGTCTCAATCGTTTCTACAATTAGTTTCATATATTGCAAAGATCCAGCCGATCATAGTGAAGCAGTCCTCATGCAAAAGGGTGCTAGGTTTCCCGTGGTTAAGTTTCCATCGTCAATCAAAGACACTGCATGGGACTACTTCTCAAAAGAGACGCAAATAAGACTTTAAAAGGATGAGAGATGAGCTTTAAATAACAAATGAAGTCTCTGCCTGTGAAACTCGGGTTACTGCAAGTTCACTCTGATGCCATACATGTGATCATAAAAAAAAACTCTTTTCTGTCAGCGCATAATGTTTAAAAAAAAAATGAATGAACTCTTTATTTCACGCACATCATTTTGCCATCTCCACCTGCAAACAGCAAAAGCTAGACGAGGCGGGCGGAGAGGTAAGGTTACAGCGGTCACAACAGATAATATAATAATTGTAAAGTAACTAACTAACTAACTAACTAACTAATAATAATTGTAAAGTAACTAAATAAAGTATCTGGATATATAAGAATTACTGAAAAACAAGCTAAGGTTACAAAATATATAGTCTTACAGAATAATATTACAATCAAATTTACTCCTAACAGAGCCTATCGATTATTAGTACATTGATTCAAGGATACAGAATTTGCCATTTTTTTGTAGAACAATGGGCACTTCAACATAATCGTCCTCTGATCCATTATCGAGAGCAAAAGGTCATGAAAATTTTCCTAAAAAGCTCCGTTGGAGAGTTGAGGAAATTCGTTAGGAATTGCGTTCCAAAGTTTAACTCCAAACCCGGAAAAAGAATCTTGATTTAGATTCAGTCTTGAAGTTTGAACATAGCAATTTCCAGACGAAGAAAACCTGGTCTCATGCTTGTGCTTTGAATTAGCTTTAGTAAAGAAGTCACAGATGTTAGACGGAGCATTCATGCAGGACACGTCAAACATTATAGAAGATACTTTTTCAGCATATAACATTTGTAAAGGTAGAATTTTTGAGGAAATAAATAAAGGCACAGCATGGGCTCTAGGTTCAGAAAAGTACATCAAACGAAGAACTCGTTTTTGAAGCACGAGAATTTTTTGTAAATGGGTTTTGGCAGATTGACCCCAAGCCGCCAAACCATATGTCAGATGAGGCAAGATCAGTGATTGATATATATTTGAAAGGGTTGTACGTGGGACGAAGTGCCTAAGACGGGCAACAACACCAGCAGTTCTGCTTATTTTTAACGCAACATTATTAATTTGAAATTTCCAACTTAAATTGCTGTCCAATAGGACGCCAAGATATTTAACATGGTCTTCGCACTGAAGCGTGGTAGGAATTTGAGTACAGTTATCGATCATTTTAATGTTAACCAAGTAGTTCAACTTATGTTGATATGGACGAAAGATAACATAGTTTGACTTTTCTTAAAAAAGTTTAATCACAGAAATGCATCTTATCGCGTTTTCCGTGCTCTATTGTTACCACTAATGACTGCAGAAGAATAAATTTGACAAATTAGAGCGCCCTAGTAACGACGGAATTTATCTGGAGACTGAAAAAGTTTTGTGAAGTGTTTACCCAGAGACTGAAGTTATTTTAATAAAAGGATTAATGCATTGTGTAATAGGATTTACATCTGAATTAAACCTGCCTCCACCTTAAGAAAACCACGACGGCGACTGCAACGAGAACGTTGAAAAAAAAAAGTCCTAAGTGGCAGAACAATGGCTCAGCACATGCATTTTAAAACTTAGTACATTTCTTAGCCGTCCTTTGCAAAACATCAACGTGAAATCACCAAAATGTGCGTTGTCTGCGAACCGAAACCACGATGGCAAATTATTTTAATTTCCATTTGGAACTCAACGCTACTATTATACGTTAAGTTGTGGTTGAGTTGTGGCGCCGTATGAGATGGTTAACACATGCAGCCATTTTCGAAATTCTAATTAAAAGTAGAAATTCATTTTTTAATCGACGTCATCCTTGGCGTTGCCATCCTGACTGCTTAAGGTCCTTATTATTATCGACAGACGACCTCTTTCATTCTTTTCACCTTGGGGTTTTACTTTCTAACTTTAAAGTGGTCAAATTTTGATTCCGGTATTAATTTACACCTTTAATTTCCGACCGCAACTGCCGCCCTATAAAAAAGTATTTTGAGGCAAAAAAAGGGAAACCAAAACCACGGAATAAAATTGAATCCGGCACTTAGCGGCAGCCATCACGAAACGAACATGTCAATCCACATGTGGCACAATGGATCTATGAAAATATTGTCTCGAGCTGTTTTGAAAGGACCTTAAACCATTGTTTGTTCGGTGAAAAAATGCTTCATTGTAATGGATAGTTTCACTTCTTCGTCAATTTTTTGCTTAATTAAGCCGATCAAGTATTCAAAGTGAACTTTAACCATTCATGAAAAAAAAAAAAAGAAAACGAAGAAAAAAAAATTGGACCATTGACGAAACGTTCGTGTCAGTCTTAAAACACCCATATGCAAAAGGTCACGAGCCTTTTAGATATCCTCTACCGCATGCAAAGATATCAACGGCAAAACATTTGAAGGCAGCTACAGCGTTGGAAGTCTCTGCTTGATGCAAAAAGAATAATCGGATTCAAGACGTGTTTTAAGTAAAATATAATAAGTGTCACAAGATCAGCGTATTTGAAACTGGTCCAGTCCAAGCTGTCTATGCCAAATTCATACCACATAAGCATCACCCCACGAGGAATATAACAAACTTGAAATGCAAACACCATAATCGCCAGAGTTTTGATAATACGCCGCCGCTTTTGGTTTTGTAGCGCGCGAGACAACGCATCTCTGTCAAGGGCACACATTGGCGTCAGTCTGTTTTGTAGTGCCTTCATGATCTTAAAGTACGCCATCGTTTGTATGACGAGGGGAACAGCAATGAAAAAAGCTACTAAGTATACTTGGTAGATAGGGCGATAGAGATCAAACGGCCACTGTGGATAACACCGATCCAAACCGTCGATTTCTTGAACCTTTAAAATGGGGGCTATCGGAAGCGCAGAAGTTACGTAGCACGCCGGCCATATAGCGAAGATAACAAGCTTGGTGTTTGAAACTGATAAACGCGTCTTTAAGGGTCGCACAATGGCACGGAACCTTTCCAGGGCAATAGTCGTGTGCGTGACAACTGATACAGTAACGAACATCTCGAGAATTGGAAGCAGGACGCTGCAGAGAAAGTTTCCAAACGGCCATCCCACGAACACTTCGATAATCCTCAGAGGCGCTCCTAAGGAAGCAACTGCCAGGTCACCTACAGCTATGTTCACGATAAGGAGATTGCAAGGTGTCCTCATTTCTGGCCGGCGATACACAGTGAAGACAATGATGGAGTTGAGCAGGACTCCGAAAAATATCACACCCGAAAAAAGAATAGCCAAGGCGGTCTTATAAGCTTGTTCGTACGAGTCCACGTCAAATCCAATGGTCGGTGTTGGCGAAGATTGCGTTGACGTGTCCATCAGAGATGAGGAGGAAATATTCCATGAGACGGTCGAGGTGGGTGTAGCCATCGTCTTCTTCGGGCTAAATTATTTCCAGTCCTGATTTATCTTTTTTTTTTTTATCTAGGGGTGAATGATTGCCAGTGAATTCCGCTATTAAGCTGATTTTCAGCGGTGGAACATTTCAACAAACAAACCTGATACTCTGCTTAGTGACACATGGCGGTATGATTCGCCGCAGCAAGTAGCAGTAAACCATACGACGAAAAATATCCTGTGTCATCATTATGATTCTATGTGAGCTAGTGTTAATTTTTTCATGAACACAAAATATGATAGGTCTTTTACATTCCATGAATACCGTCACTTCTCTTTTTAAAATTTTTCCAAGCCGGGGGGCGCCGTCCGTTTACTTAACGAAGTCATTTAGACTTGCCTTTCGGAGAAATTTGTAAAGCAAACGTGGCTGATCCTATTACAACCAAGTCTTTTAATTTCTGCAAACAATCCATGTTTTTGAAGGTTCGATGTTATAGTAAAGAGAGGTAACGATCATTTCCTTGCAACCAGAATTTGTAGTGCTTTAAGTAAATAAATAGCATACAAATGCCAAGCCTCCCCTCCCTCTTAAAAGTACACTCAAGACACCACTCCCCTCTTCAGAAAATTACAATATGCTAAGGTCAAGGGTAACTAAACATGCTTAAAAACTTCTCAACACCCTATGATGACACGAAATCAATGGACGCGTGTTCAATTTACTATCAGGGTCTAAATACGTACCAGCCAAAATTTATTTTCACTGCCACAATAATAAACAATGTAGAAAACCTAATTAACTCGGTTCTTGATGTGTATTTTTTGCATCAAAAGGTTTCTCCATGGCTATGTTCGTTCGGACCCGGAAATACCTTAAATTATACACGATTATAAAATAGTCTTTGTCAGCAAGTTGGATGCGGAAAATTTTTAGGCCACTCACAGAAAATGAGTGCAATCGGACAATAAAGGAGCAAACAAGAATGTTATCGGCAGAATTAATTCAGGTGAATAGAAAGACGCATAAAGGTCTCTATTCAACAAAAACATTACCAAAGGTCAAGATTCCTATCAGAGCTTAAATATAAACCTCGTAATCTTTCGTGTTTCTTGACAACGATGAATGTCGAGCCAGTTTTGGTGTTGACGTTCTAAGGCAGTAAAAGTGGTTTTTTCGGCCACGAAATCTAACCCAAACCAGCTCGCGCAGGAGTTGGATTCATGTCATTCAGCCTTTACTTTGTGTGTTCTTGTTCGATCGCCGCAGAGAAAAGATTAATCGGGGGGGACAAGTTACCCAGGCTCAAATCTTTTAGTCTGAGGTAACCTATGCATTTACGTAAAATGTAAACAGCAGTTTTGACTGCATATTCAGAGCCAAATTTAAAAGAAGGAGGGAAAGAAGGAGAAGTCAAAAGAGCTGGGGATAATCTTAACAGTTTTAACTCAGGATCGTATTAGAGAAGAAAAAAAATAGAAAAACAATATCAGATAAGCTATGATTAGCCTTAATTTCGTATCAAGCCTGCTGTATTTTACTACCGCTAAGACTCGGGATAACAAGTCCAAAATTCCAAAACAAAATGACTACCCGACCCGGCTGACGCCTGCTAAGAATTCGTGATCATTTTCTCTGCGGGAAACTTATTAGCCGTGGCCATGCTGTAGTCCGCGTGTTTGGGGTTTCTTTTCTTTAATCAATCATATTTTTGATAATCATTCAAAAATGCTTCCATGGAATGTCACCGATAGTAGCCATGGGACGTAGAACTTGGCAGGATTGGAGTCAAAAGTAAAAAGCATTGATTAGCACTAATCCAATTTAAGTTCACTTGGTGAGCTAGTTAGAGCCTTTGTGGTGAATCCGATCCAAATGACATCCTTTTCGCTGACATTTGATCTAATTCTAAATAGTTAGAAGGTAAATGCCAAGAAATAACATCAGAAACCCAGACATAAAAATGCCAACAGGGCTGGGGCAGCCGAACCCGCCGTGAACAATAATAAAGAATGCCTTACAAGGCACGTACCACGGCAATTAGAAGACTTGGGGTAAAAAAAAAAAAAGCTAGGTCGTCTATCAATTCATTGGGTCAAGGATGGGGTTACAGCAGAGCTACCATGTGTTGATTCTTGACCATTCGTTTTAGATACAAATCTACCTCACACTGAATAAAATCCAAATATAAGTACAAAACAAACAGCAAATACGACGAAATGCCCTCCACTTTGTGACTCTCAACAAAAAAAAACCATGTTCCATAAAAATAAACAATACCAGAAATCTCGAGCCCGACTCGAGTGGTTTAATTGAGCGGCAGAAAAACAATAGAGTATGTAACGTCTGTTTAAGGAAAAGAGATAAAAAAAGCATTGTTTGTTGCTACAATGTTGAAATTCATCTTCATTTCAACCTGGGATGAAAACTCCTACAATGTTTTCATAACTATTTTGCCAGAAAACGGATATATTAGGCCTGGAAGTGTAATCATATTCCATTTATCATATCGTGAAATCTTACTTCAATTTCTAGCTTCTTTCAAAAATCCCTTAACATCCCATTTCAATTTTGTAAATAAGATGCGAAGTTTTCCAGATGCAGAAAGACTTGTAGTGGCGACTTACATCCAGAACTGAACTCTAAGCATTTCTCCCCTCCATACGCCTCACATTTGGAGTTAAATCATGTAAAGAAATGTGATGTTATATCCATATAACAATCCCTAGCTGACAAAAATGTATATTTGCTCATCTCATTTTTAGCTAGAGAATGTGTTGTTATCACAAGAAGTTAGATGTAATTATTACTCGGGCTTTCCGAAGGAAACGCCCGAGTTGTAAATTCAGCTTGGGTTTTTTTTTTTTTTTTTCGCGTTCAGTCACAAAACGCAGTTCCACTACAGCGCATGCGTTAAGTGTGAGCGCATGCGTAGAATCAACTTTGTGAACAATTGCTGCCTTTGTGAACAATTGCTTGCTTGATGTATGCGCAAGAAATTTGATGGCTTTTACACTAAATATACCTAGAAAGTCACACACCGTTATCGGTAGACCCACACTAAAACTTGTGGAGCGTTTTGGAAACGGGTCGGTCCGCGAACTTGACGAGAGATCAATTCAAGAGCGATCCTTTGCGAGTGAACCTTCTATCGAGGAATGTCAAGCGAAACCTGCTATAAGGAACGAGCTATCTCATATTATGTTTACATGTAAACACAACCGTGTATTTAGACATGATCGAGAACCCAGAACAAGAAGCTGCTCTGAAACGTCTCAGAAGAAAGGGCAGAACACTGAAGGAATTTGTTTACGAGCGTATAATTTCGTCCAAGCACACCGAATTCCTCTTGGTTACGTCGCTATGTGAAGGTTAGAAGAGTTACAAAGAATGTAAGCTTAATACGAAGAGGGTAAGATTAAATAAAGTTACACAACAGGAGAAGAAGTATTTGTTGAATTGTTCTGTGACGGTATATCAAAGGATAATTAAATTGAAGTTTAGAGGAAGTCGGTATTTATCAATGTTTTCTTGTTATAGACCCGTGTGTCTTTGTAAGAGTCAGACACACGTATCAATTTATTGTAAATTTCAACTAAGTTCAGATGTTGAGAAAAACCCTGGTCCTACGCCAATCAGTACACTGACCCCAGCAAAATAATAAGGGCACCATATACACGCTATGCAAAACGAGCATTCTTCTGTAGGGATTAGTAACGAGTTTGCACCAAAGCGAGGTCGGTCAGCCATCGCCATTTCGTTGTACGCTTTTTTAGCAAGGATTTTCTCGAAATCCTTATCGATATTTTGCCTTTGTAAATGCCTACACACTGCTGTGTTCCTCATTGTACCTTTAAGAGCCATCGCAATTCAGATGGGGAGAAAGTTTCATTCTTTAACTTCCCGAAGAATGCAGTTTTGCGAAAGAAATGGATCCATGCGATTCGAAGAGATCCCGGAAAAGATTTTGAACTAACTCGTCGGACTAAAGTGTGCTCCCGTCATTTCAAGAAAACTGACATGAAAAAAAGNACTGCGGATAGCGTCGAAAGTGGGCTCTGATCGGCTACTCAAACTGCTGATATCCTTTGTTAGTATATACTAAAACAGTGGATAGCGTTGAAGGCGCGCTCTGATTGGCTAGTCAAACTCCGAATATCCTTTGCTATTTACCTCCGAGCAACTCGGGAAAAAATGGCGTCCCGGTTTGCATCCGTGACAAGCGAAGAAATCACTCAAATTAACGACGGTGGTGTATATTATCTCACTGTTTTAGTATATACTAAAACAACTATTCACCCCAGTGTCGATAGTTAGCGGTGGATATTTACCTCGCCGCTTCGCGGCTCGGTAAATATCCACCACCAACCACCTCCACTTTGGTGAATAGTTGTTAATTATGAATACAGGAGATAAAGGATAAAATGTGAGGTATGACACTTCGAAGAAAAATGATGCGGAAGCAGATTTTTATCAAAGTCAGGTTAATGAGGACAACATTGAAGATCAGGATGATGAAATCCCAAAGAGAAAATGCGGCAGACCAAGGAGACTGACACTAATTGATGAATTTTTCCTTGTAATGTGTAGGCTAAGAAGAGTATTTGCTGAGCAGCACCTAGCCCACTTATTTGGAGTTTCTCAGGCCACTGTCAGTAAATTGTTTACAACCTACATAAACTACATGTTTGTGAAGTTTGGTCAAGTGAATATTTGGCACTGGGAAGCCAAAGAAGTTCTTTTCGACGGGTGTACAATTTATTTATAACTGGATCGACACAAGTTTTGATCTTTTCCAGTTCTTACATACTCTTCTACCCTATAGAAATAAAGAAGAAACATTTTGATAAGATCGCGAACAGAAGCAAATAAGAGGGTTGCTATTTTTACTAGTCCTTGTAACTCCCAAATAAAACTTTGATTTACAATGTAATATCGAATAAACTTTCCCAATAAATCATCAATATACCATTTTTACCTCTTAAAAAGTTAACATTTCCATTATATATAAATAATCGACTCTCTATATAGAGATTTTAGTGAGCAATCCACATGACGGCAAAGCTCCGAAGATTTGAGTGCAATAAAGGCGACTACGACTCAATACTTATCAAGCCATTTAATGGCGACTTCAGAAACAGTTTTACGACTTAATTTTTTGGATTGAAAAAGAAATTTCAAGCCCTACTTAATTGTTTTTAGCATTAAAATACGTAATTTGGCTGTCGCTAAGAATGAAAGAATCGTGAACCTACCGCTTAACAAGTTGCGCCTTCGTCTTCAAGCCCTTTGCCGGATCTCCTCTGCATTTGAGCCAGAATTTTAACTCATCTACTTTTAAACTACTTGAGTCTCTTCCAGCAAGTGAAGAACCCAGAATATCCGCTTCTGTAAGCGTAGAATTGCTCATATTTTAGTCTAAAACGGTCACCAATAACTCACATCTCTCTAAAACTTCTGTTTAGTCACACTTGTGCATGGCTGACCGACCTCGTTTTGGTGCAAACTCGTTACCAATCCCTACAGAGGAATGCTCGTTTTGCATAGCGTGTATAGCCAGGCTAATAAATTTGGCATTTGGACAAAATTCAGGACAACAATGTAGTGACTTCATCCAATCAAGACAACTCGAAGGCAAGAGAGCTTGTAGGGCAAAATCACTGTCTTCAAGCGAAAGTGATCGATCATCTAGTTATTGCTCCATTCCCTCGATAGCTTCCCTTGAAAGTGATGTGAACAGTACTTTTCCTGATGAAAGAACCGATGTAATTGACGAATTTGATTTCCTTTTCCTGTAGGCGATCTTTAAGTCTATTTATTTTGGTTGTCAGCGTGTTGATTGTTTTCTTCCGACTTCGGTTTTCGTCTCCCACAAACTTGCACGCGTCGCAACTCTGGTGGAGGTATAAGTGAGTCTCTTCCTAAAATGACGAAAATGGAGCATTTAATGATATAATTTGACTCTAATACGTTGGAATTCCTTGACTTGGCCATGTGTTGTTTATATGTACTGACACGATCGCGTGTGTTCGCATGCAAAATCTCTGAA